CACAAATAGGAACAAGATTAACCAGAGCATGGAACAGCAAAGGAGGGTGGGTCATTTACGGTTGAACTAGCAGTAAATGGACATGGTAAGATTCAGAATGTTTTGCACTAAGTAAATGAATTTTAATGCAGGAAAGTAACTATTTTGACAAGAAACAGATTTAACAAGTTGGATTAATATGTGATAGGAAAGCAAATTATAGGCTGACACAGGGTCTGCAGTGTACCAGGATACAAAAAGAGATCCTTAATATTTTCCCCGGTACTCAAGTGAGGAGGGATTAAAAGTAAAGAATATTACTGCAGTTACAATGATTCATTACTGTACTGTAGTTACATATTGTATAGTTAAACACCTGTATGCTTTTTATTTGTGTCAGTTCTCTTTAGCAAATCCACTTGTAATAAAAAACTTTTCCAGATATCTCCTTTTTAGTATAAAAGCAATATATCTTTATCGTAAGCAATTCAAATGATGCAGAAAGATACATGTAGAAAATTAAATTGTTTCTATATTTCTCCTGTCAGCTATAACTATAATTTGGCAAGTAAATGAGATAGAACTTTGCAGTTAAAAGTAGTTTTACTATGTGTAGTAAAAGTGAATTTCAACAACCTTATTGCTATCAAACTGTGGGCTTGAAGAAAAAGTTGATGTTTGTTGTGGTTGTGGCTTGAGATATAGTTGGCTCCTTGGGTTTTATGGGTAGTAATTCTGGAAAAGTCAGGCAGCAATCCTTCCAATCCACTCTGCTGAGAAAGAACACGTAAGATGAAAGGAGCCTGTGAATGCCCATTTTTTCCTCCCGGAGGCTGGAGGTGAAGTGATGGAGGATGGGCTTTATGTCATTGTAATATCTTTTTTCCTAGTAGGGCATCAAATAATAACCTAGAAAATTATCTCAAATATTAAATGTTTTTCCCCTTTATTAACATTAACACAAAAATGTAAACAAAAAACCCCAAAAAACAAAAAAACCACCACCATAGTGGGTATCTAATAAAATGAACTTACTCCAATTTTCCATATTATTTCAAAATTTATTTTAAACATGATGGGATTAGAGTTTAGATGAAATTCATCTCTTCCAAGTTGGAGTGAAAAATTAAGATGTTCTCAAAGTGCGAGGCCAAGGTTTGAATATGGCTGCTTAATGTGAATCTGAATCCTTCTGCCAACCTAAGGGAAGGCTCCCTGCATCCTTGTATCCTACTGGGACTTTGTCAGAGCACAACTACCTCTATGGGCAGGTGTTTTTCTACTTTTGTATGGTTTTGACATCACAGCTCCCAAATTATTGTTACAATTTTCACCCTTAACTCTTAATTGCAAGTCTTTTGCATCATGTGCAATTGCACCTTTTCAAACCTCTCTGGTGAAATAAATTTAAAATAAATTTAAAACTGCCATATATTTACTTAAAATTTATGAAGAAACCAAGGATGCTGGAATTACTAATGCTAATGTTACAGGAGTTTTGTATGTAAACAGTGCAAAATAACATGTCGTATATTTATGATATTATTAGGATTACATGGAGTATGATTTTGACAGTGTTTGTCTTGACAAGGGAGACACACTGGCTCTAGAACTTGTAGGTGTCAATCTCTGGACTGACTTGGCAGCTAGGAGACTCTCTTGCCTTGCTAACTGTAGTATCTGGCACCTTGCTGGGACCAGTGGCTGCTGCCTTTGGCAGCCTCAAAGTCATGTCTGTCACCTACTGTGATGTTGGTAGATATCGTAGGCTGTTTTCTGTCCATTAATGCCATTTTTACTGCCATCAGCTTTGAAATTAGTGGCTCCGTCCTTTTCTAAGTACACATTCATTATGTTAATCTCAAAAGCAAGAGGCCTTGTTTCAAATTCAGATGTTGGTATTTATTTAACTGACAGTGTGTTTCAGAAGTTTATATAAATATTACTGAAATCTAAAATCTGTCATAATTATTAAGATTTATTAGGATGTAATGTGGAGGCTTTGAGGTTTCATGTAGAAATGGTCAAAAATATAATATAAAAAATGACATGACACTTTTCTATAATATTAGTCATTATCAGGAAAAAATATTTTCTTTCCAAGATGAACGTTGGCAGGAATTTGATTTAACTGAAATTGTGGGACAAACACAGTAGGAAATGATGGGTATGAAGATATTACTTTGAGAAATGAGAAACAATTTAGGTGTAAGTGGTAAAAGAAGAAAGGCAGTAATTCGGGAACACGGTTTAAAAAAATCCTGTCAAAGTGTCCTCAGGGTATGAGATTTTCACTGAAGTGGAAGCTTTAATACCTTCATGGAGCTGTTGCCAATAAGGATGAATCATCTCTGAATTTGACAACCTGAGGTATTAACTTGAAAAATGGAATTGGACAAGATTGCAAATAATGCTCAATAATATGTTTCTAAAACTTGTTTCACAAAGCCATGTGCCTTTCTTACAACATGATATTCAGGGTTCCTTAATTCATTTGATCTGAAAAGTTCCTGTGTTGGCTAGGTGTTATGTACCATACCTTTCCATCATTTAAAAATACCCTGCTGTGGTTTGAAATAATGATCTCTGAGGATGTGTGCACCTCAGAAGACTGGTCGAAAAGCCCTTTTAAAATGAGCCAATGGGATCCCCAGATTAACATCTGAAAGCTAGCTACTTAATAAAGTTTTAATTGCTTAAGGCTACTAGGCTAGTTGAATAATTAAAAGAAGGAATATCGTAAATTATTAGAATTAACAAAACTAAACTCTATGGTAAATCTATAGTGATTGTTTCTTCAAAGTTCACATGCTGTGATTTTACTGTGTTATTGTAATTACTTTTTTACTTGAGTGCTGGTTTATAAAGCTCAGATAAAATAAACCTGTAGATATTTTTACAGTAAAATTTTTAGTGTGCAAAACTAAGTTTCCCTTGGCAGATACATGTGGGACAAAAGAGAAGTCCTCTCTACACTCGTTAGCGTCTACTTCTCTTGCCTGGGAATATACGTTGATGTTCCAGATTCAGTTCCAGAAGGAACACACTTCTTATTGTCTTCTGTACTGATCAGTTGTTAGACTTAATGGCCTTCTTTTGACCAATATGTGTTTACAAAAGTTTAATCTTAGGATTAAGATTTAGTATATTGTTATGACACAGGTTTGCTTGGGGAAGACAATGGAAATTCATAGCAATAACAATGTGAGCTCTGGTAAGGCGAGCTCACATTTGTTGAAGTAATATTGGAACTTAGTGTACTACTAAGCCCTAAGTACTTTATTTTTGCCTTCTCTGATGACTGTCCGGTGCATACTGATTTGCATGGTAATTGTGTATCTAGAATATTATTTTATTTGGGTGAAACATTATATAATTGAAATTTATTTTAATATGTTGAAATAAGGGTAAATCACTTAATTTTAGTTTTTTAACAGACTTTACGTTTTAGAGCAGTTTTAAGTTTACAGCAAAATTGATTGGAAAGTACAGAGAATTTCCTCATATATTCCATCCTCCACATAGGCACAGCCTCCCCAGCTATCAGAGTCCCCAACCAGAGTGATACACATGTTGCAGTTAATGAACTTATTAACACATGAAAAATTATCACCCAAATTTTACTGTTTACATGAAAGTTCACTCTTGGTGTTGTAAATGTCTTTTTAAAGATATGATCTTGCTGTACTATTATTTGCCAAGAGATCAAGGACCTGCTCAGGGCCACCAGTGTCATCAACTAGGTGACCTAAACATGAAAATGAAAAATCAGAGATTGGCAAAATGCATTAAAAATATGACCAAACCATATATTGTCTACAATTGAAAAAAAAAAAAAGGATGGGAAAAGATACACCAGGTAAATGCTAGAGAATGATGGATGGCTGTACAAAGAGGACTTCAGAGCAAACAAATTTACCAGGAGTAAGCCGGGAACGGTGGCTCTCACTCGTAATCCCAGCACATTGGGAGGCCAAGGTGGGTGGATCACGAGGTCAGGAGTTTGAGACCAGCCTGGCCAACATGATAAAACCCTGTCTCTACTAAAAATACAAATATTAGCTGGGCACGGTGGCAGGCGCCTATAATCCCAGCTACTCAGGAGAATGAGGCAGGAGAATTTCTTGAACCTGGGAGGCGGAGGTTGCAGTGAGCTGAGATCACGCCACTGTACTCTAGCCTGGGTGACAGAGCAAGACTTTGTCTCATGAATGGATGGATGGAAGGAAGAAAGAAAAGAAGGAAAAAGGGAGGAAGGAAAGGATTTACCAGGAGTAAAGAGGACATTACATATTGATAAAATGGTCAATTCACGAAGAAGCCATGGCAATCCTAAACATGTATTCAGTAAACAACTAAGCTTCATAATACAAAAAGCAGAAACAGGCAGAATTCAAATGAGTAATTGACAAATCCATCATTACAGTTGAGGATGCCGGTGTGCCTCATTCAGTAGTTGATGGAACCACTATTCAGAAAATTAGTAAGGATATATTAATAGAAGAACTCAATGATATTATTAAATAATAGGATCAAATAGACATTTATAGAGCTCCACCGCCAACATCAACAGAATACAGATTCCATACACATGAAACATATATCAAGTTAAACCGTATTCTAGATAATAAACTTTACAAATTTAAAGAATTGAAATCATACCTGACCATAATGAAACCTAACTAGAGATTAATAACAAATGACAGATAAAATAACTGAAGGAAGTTTTATGTAAATTAAGCCTTGTTTTTCTGGCTAGGTACTGTGTGATAAACCTGTAATTCCAGGTGAAAAAGGAAAATCACTTGAACCCAGGCGTTGGAGATTATCCTGGGTGATATAGTAAGACCCCACCTCAAAAAAAAAAGTCTAAAAGTCTTGTTTTTCTACCTTTCATTTTGAATTGTTATTGACTTGGAACACGTGAAAATAGATATATGTCACATGAAAATGTGCCAAAATTATAATGATACATATTAGTTGTTACCCATGATAAATTGTCTCTCTGTCCACTTTTACAGCTTCTCTGTTAAAAGGACTAAAACATGCTAACATAGTGCTACTTCATGACATCATCCATACCAAGGAGACGCTGACCCTTGTGTTTGAATATGTGGTAAGTAAAATAAGACTTTTAAATTTAGACATTTAAAATATGAATGAAATTCTTATAGTGTTATCATAGAGTTTTGTTTTTAGATTGCTGTAGTGGTTATTTTATCTGAATACATGAGACTTGTAATTTTGTGTAAAATAGTGCCCCTAAAAGAGATTATTGAATGATATGTATATTAAAAGAAAAACCCAGAAAAATGTAAGTTGAATTTTTATCAAATATGTTATCTATTTATAACCTATTTGTTACTAGGTTACATGGTAATTTTTGAGTTTATTGCATAGGATTAAACAACCTTGTGGTGATCTTTATCAAGGAAAGCTCATAGGCAATAAGAATGTTATTTTAGTTTTGGACTAAAACAGACTGATGGTGATCATTATCAAAGAAAGCTCATAGGCAGTAACATTGGTTTTTTAGTTTTGGACTGGTAACTTCGTTTCTCAAAAGCATGCTTATTAAGACTGTGTGTGTGTGTGTGTCTGTGTGTGTGTGTAGGAAAGCCTGATACTTCAAATTTAGACTTCAAAGTTTTCCCCCTCAGTTGGTATTTCAGCTATTAATTAAAACTTCCAATGGCATAGCACACAATGTAATGATCTTATTGTGTGAGAGTATTACTGCTAGAAGACTTGGACCTGAACTCTAATTAATCTTTCTCCATTTCTCTTAGAAAAACATATGGTATTTTTGTAGCACCACTTCAGCATTTAACTGTGGAATCGTGAAATGTAACCGTGATAATTAACATCCCAATTTTCACAGATGGATCTAAGAACATGTAATTTATAAGACACAAATGACATTGGTGCAGACATTTATTGAGAAGAATAGCTGTTGGTATTGTCAGTGTATTAGGATACCATTTTGTAATTACCATACTACTTTTTTAAAAAATTTGAAGTACTTTCCATTTTTCCTTAAAAAAATAAAGGAATGAATATTTGCAACATTTTTATTTTGCTAATGTCTGCCTGTGTCTGTCATTTGAAAATTGTTGTCTTATGAAGAAGCCATTTATATTGTCTATTTACATATAAATGATAGATACATTTGAATAATATGGTAATGTGACTGGAAGGACAGCTAGAGCTGAGCAGTTGCATATATTACGTGGCACCAAGAATGGATGCAGATTCACACATCAATGCAAACATAATTTCTTTTGTTTAATCCATGATTTTTGGAGTTAATAATGTATTCAAACTGATTTAGACTTGGAACTTTTGATATATATTTTTAAATATGTCTAGTTTACATATTTCAATTAAATCTAGATTTTCCTTACTGTACTTTTGTAATGTTTTGTAGAAAAGAGATTTCAAAATTGTACTTATTCTCTCCCTCAAATTAGATGGTTAAATTAAAAGGAAGGAAGTAGCTTATGCACCAAAATCAGTAACACTGGTAAAGAAACTAATAAAAGTATGTGAAAAGATGTCCTCCAAATCTTTTTTTTAATTTTTGAGATGGAGTCACACCCTGTTGCCAAGCTGGAGTGCAGCAGTGGCGCGATCTTGGCTCACTGCAACCTCCGACTTCCTGGTTCAAGCAATTCTCCTGCCTCAGCCTTCCAAGTAGCTGGGACTACAGTTGTGAGCCACCATGCCCAGCTATTTTTTGTAATTTTAGTAGAGATCGGGCTTCACCATGTTGGCCAGAATGGTCTCGATGTCTTGATCTCATGATCCGCCCGCCTCGGCCTCCCAAAGTGCTGGGATTATAGGTGTGAGCCACTGCACCCGGCGTCCTCCAAATCTTACAAAAATAATGATATATATTTATGTGGCTAAAATGCACATATTGGATTAAGTGTCATTTGATGATTTTGTATTTGTGTTGCTGCCAAACAGAAGGAAATAAATTCACTGTTCTGCATTATTTACTGATTAACACTGACTTTTAAACATAATCACTTTTCTTTGTGTGACTAAAATTTTCCCCAGTTCCAGTTCTTATGGAAACATCCCATGTCCTTTTAAATCAACCACTTAATAATATGGGCATATACGGTATCTACAAGAAACATTTTGTTCCAACTTTTCCATGGAGTTTAGACATTGTATAGATTACCCTTGTCTCTTTTAGAGAATGAGGTCAACTTGGGTCATTTGTGGCTTATGATTGCCCTGCCTCTGCTTCTGTTGTCCTCTTTACCAGTATTATCTTACTTTTACACTGCATCTTTGGCCTTTCTCCTTTCTACCTTTCTTTTCTATCTTTTCCTATTCTCATGATTTTCTATCACTTTGCTATCTCAGGTGAAACACTTTTTGCTGCTATACGTGAAGTTTCTTTTGTCTTTGTGTATTTTGAGTAAAAGATGTTTAATTGAATTCTTGAAATAAGCCTTTGGTGAAAAGAACAGCTTCAGGGTGTAGAAATTTCTTAGGATAGTCTTCTCACTTAGGGTGGGAAGGTATAGATTTCTCAGCAAGATTAGCCTATGTGGTAATTGCCCAGTTCAAAAATAAGCTCCCTGAATATTACCTAAAGTTTTTATTTTCTTAAACAAATTTCCAATTGCTTGCTCTTTGTAAATATTTGTACATTTCAAGAAGAATTAAGTTTCTTACATATCTTAATGGATTGTTTTAATCAGATTGCTTTCCTAACAATATCTAGCAGAAATAAACTCTACTCCTCTTGCATGTTTTGAAGCAATGGAAAGGCAATAATAATTTTTAAAGATGAAGTACCATGCAAATGAGAGCAGATCTTAGTGAGATGTGGAAGGTAGCAAACAGGAGGGCACCGTAGGCTTGGGATAAATGAGTGAGGGCCACAGAAAGAAAAGCGAAAGAGCGTTTAAGACAAATACGGCCACAATAATAAAATCCAACAGCTTAAATTTACAGAGTTTTATGCTGGGCACTGTGCTGAGGGCAAATTAATTGTCACTTTTGGTGTTCTCAGGAGCCTCATGGAACTATAAATATCACCAGTTTGCAAAGCAGAAACCTAAAGATTAAGGAGATGAAGCAGTTCTTTCCAGTGTCTTGTAGTTTGTGAGACAGGCCCATGCTCAACCTAATTGGACTGTTATAGCTCCTGCTTTTTAATTTTTTTGTTTTTTAATTTTAGTTAGCCTATGCCTTGTGTCAGAAGAGGAAATGGAAACTTTTCTTCTTTCTTTCTATAACCTTCCTTCCTTTATTCTACAGTTAATATCCTGAGTGCAGATAAGTCCTAAAAACAGTGAAACTGCTTTATAGTTCTACTAAGTTTCATAGACTGGCCAAAATCCTATCCATTTAAACTTTTATTTCATTTACAAAATTTGTTTTTTAGTTTCCATAAAGTAAACTTGGAAGTTACAGGATTGCTGCATATATTCTACTAGAGTCTTCTTAAATGCGCGCACGTGCACACACGCACGCACACACACACACACACAACTTTGTTAGCAAATTCTAAAATCAGTATCAAACAATTTAATATTTCTAAAACTTAATGATAATGTTGCCATATTTCAGAATTATTAACATCAAAGTTATTTCCTAAATGATATTGATTTTGTAGTTCATGTAATTCATAGTACCCTTTTTTGACAGAGGTACCATTGTAAATTAAACAGTAGGAAAAACCAGTACCCCATTAAAACTCTGAATATGAAGGGAAAGTAAAATAATTAAACATTCATTTGGTACTATTGTGTTTTTCCTTTTGATTTTACAATTAAGTTTTCAAGGGCTTTCTGAGATACCTATGTAATTGAGGCTTTACCAAGGGAAGGATTCTTATTTATGATAATGTATACATACTATAAATGTATTTCTTTTTTTGGCCTTAAAGGAGAACTGTAAGCCTAGTTCCTTTATATTATTATTATGAATGGCATTTTAGGTTTTATAAAAACCTTCTGAGGGCCAGAATAATGAAATAAGTGGTAAAATTTCAGTGATATGAAAGAATACTCAAGGAAATAACTTTGAAGGTCATTATTAAAGTGGTTTTATGGCCAATAGGATGTTGTTGGTATAGGTTTCCTCTTAAGTAATATGAAAAGCTTTACAGACCTAAAGTGTTCTGTATTTTAGATTCTTACACACTTTCAAAGTATGTAGATACTACAGTCTGGAAGCTGCAAGCATATCCTTAGAGGATATGCTCCCTAAGTTGCTCCTGTTGCTACTGGGTAACATGTGGGCCCCTCTGATGCATGGTTTTGAGTACTGCCTTCCTCCTGTAGTGGTCAAATATGAAGGAACTCTTTAAACCAAGGAGTGGCTCCATTAGCTTGAAAGGAATCTTGTTTATAATGGCCTAAAATATTATTATAGCTATCGTTTTTCCATATACAAGATTAAGACTTGGATAAGAAAGATAGAAAATATCGTTCAGAATCATTGACTCCAGAATATGTTTTGTTATGAAAATTCTAACAAATTTTTCTTCTACTTAAACAGAAAGTTAAGCAATTTAGTTTTTATTTATATTTTTTGCCAAATACAAATAAGTGCCACATTATCCTATTTAGCACCATGCTGAAAAATTTAAAACAGATCCCATAAGTGGAAATAAGAATACTAATAGTAAACACGACTATGTAAATGTATATTGCCATTAAGCTAATAACTCTGCTGTTTTATTTTAAATTATGTAAGAGCAAAGCATGTATAGCAGTATTTTTCATTACCTATTTAATAATTATGTACAAGTAGAAAGCAAAATAGAATTGTGATTACCAGAGAATGAGGAGGAGGGGAAAATAGGGAGTTCTTCAGTGTGTATAAAGTTTCAGGTTTTTTTTCCTGGGATACAAGGATGGATGATATAAAGTTTCAGTTGTATAAGATGGATAAGTTCCAGAGAGCTAGCGTGCACCGTAGTGCATATGGTTAACAATATGATATTGTGCACTTAAAATTTTGTTAGGAAAGTAGATTTTATGTTAAGTAGTCTTACCATCAGAAATATAAAAGCAAGGTTGGATACAGTGGCTCAAGCCTGTGATCCCAGCACTTTGAAAGGCCAAGGTGGGAGGATTGTTTGAGGCC